ATACCCCACACGTCACGACCAACACCAAGAAAACATACATACATACATACATACATACATACATACATACATACATACATACATACATACATACATACATACATACATACATACATACATACATACATACATACATACATACATACATACATACATACATACATACATACATACATACATACATACATACATACATACATACATACATACATACATACATACATACATACATACATACATACATACATACATACATACATACATACATACATACATACATACATACATTCATTCGTCAACCACTCCTTCATTACTTACTGTACCATGACCGTTGCTAATTGCTGCCCATGTAATAGTGGTACAGGAACAGGTATATATAGAGGTATAGAGGGGCACAGAGCGTAACAGAACGCGGTCACGTGGCGGCCGAGGGACAGGGACACATACACGTCAACAAATGCTCTAACGGAAATAACGGTAATTAGTTAAGGCTGCGATGGCAGCTACATACAGCTTGGCTCATACGCGCGCTCATATGCAAAGAGAAACTGAAAAGGACAGAAACTAACACTCCATGTGGGGGGGATTGCCGACCCCCGGCGGCCAAGCGATCCTGGACACATGAGGATATGTGGGGGAGGGGGGGGGGACCCGAGGGGCTCCCAAACCTCCCCCCAAAAACACATGAGCAGCTAGCCAGCGTCATCATAGCATCACAGGCCTCATAGCTGGGTGTATTAACATACAATCGCCTGACGCCCGTGGTTGCCGTACGCCCGTGGTTGCAGTACATATACAAAGTACAAATACGTTTTTTACGTTTCAACAGTCAAGCCCTCGCGTCGAAGCGTCGGCAGAAAAAGCCGCAAAAGCCGGTTTGCCGTACCGATTGCAAACACACACGTGCACCCATCCATACGACTGCTTTTCCCCACCCCGTAAATGCGCACTTGCAAAGGGCCGTTCCCTGCGCACACAAACAGTGTGCGTTTGGACGCCTGCACATGCCAACTAACTGATGTATGCGTGCGCGTATGTATGTATGTATGTATATGTATATGTATGTGTGTATGCATGTATGTGTGTGCAACACGTGGTCGCTCATTTCAACCTGTCCATCCGCCTCCCTCACTCCCCCCTTCCGACACGCATCTATGCACAAACGCAACGGCCCTTGCACATGTGCAGCTGTAGTATCATTCACATATCAGGAGGACCCCTCCGCCGCGGGAGGAGACTCCGGAGCCGCGGGAGTGGGTGCAGCTCTGCCCTGGGAGGTGCGGTACACAAGTACGGCAGAGCGGCTGGTCCTCAACAGCTGGGTTACGAAAGGGGGCAGGGGACCCCGGCACTCCGGAACCTGACCGGGGGGGGAGGGAGGGATGGCGGGGGGGATGGAGAGGAAACACACGCCAGGAAACAAGAACTGAACTGACCGGTTGGTGTGTGTGTGTGTGTGTTAAAACACGAACCACTGGCCATTGAAGCAGATACTAGAGATAGACGGATATACTCCAGGAATGTGTATGTGTGTGTGAGTGTGCAGGGGGGGGAGGTTTAACAGGGGGTTGCAGTAATGCGCACAGGGGGGGGGAAGAGGTTGAGGAGGAGATCATGAAGAGGGTCATGGGGAGGCTGTACGGCAGGGATTGAGAAGCGTCAATCAGATCGGGAGTAGCCGTACTGTGCCGTACATGTCCAACAAGAGGGCTGCACCGGAACCCCGTGTGGACTTCACGCAACCCGACCAAACCGAATCCAACCAACTGCGGCACACCAAACCTGCACCCGCGCCCCCCCCCTACGCACCCTCACCCGCACACGTCTCCATCCAT